AACAACTGATGACTAATGCATGTTTTCCACAATTACATACTGCTGAGTTTGAATGAAATCCTTAGAGGAAACATCTGGGGGAGACTGTTTGCCGCATGTGTTCTTTATTCTGTGCTACTTCACACGTTAATGGCCACTTATGAAAAGTCTAAGCTTTATGGAGAAAATAAATTAATGTCATTTTCACATATCACATTCTTAAGACACCCAAAACATTTAGAATTCATAAAACACAACATGGACAAAGTTTAACTAATATTATTCCTGGTGTTGTCTTGGTGGTCATGAAATCTACCTACAGTACGTTTAATAGTTTTGTATGTCACAAGTGCTGGTAATGTAGTGCTATTTAACTGTTGCCAACTGACGGGCAACACAAAGACCCAAATTGACATGAAATACTTTCTAAATACGTATTATTTGTAGGATTATATACTAATGAAAAATATAAATCCATAAAACTGGGAAACCCATTCATACAAATACTATACTTACCCCTGTACAGGCTTTGAAATTGATGTAGATATGGTCTGTTATGTGTACAAAAAAGATAATATAACAATATGAGAAAGGTTACAAATAATCCACTTGGTAGTTAGTGAGTAATTGATTGTTAGTGAGAAAGGACCTCAACCAGCTGTTTCTTCTAAGAAACTAGGGTATCAGCTGGTTAGCTTGTTCCACAACTTTTTGGGTAAGAGCTGTGCCTGCTATTCTTGGTTTTAAATGCTCTTCTGTAGTTTCCAGTGTGAGAAGCTATTGACAGGACTTTTTTTTCAAAATCGATATATGCTACAAACATTTTGTATTCCCCATTTAAGAAAAATGTTCTTTATAGAAAAAATGTAAAATGTAAGTTTATTATGCTCACACAGCCATTCTGCTTTGTTTATCCAATCTGATTTCAAACTGATCATCTGTTCGGTCGAGCATCTCTCTTGGGTTTAAAATCCAAGAACTGAATGTGCAAAACTCTGAATTGGGTGATACTGATTTATAAGCTAGTAATCCGAAAAGTTCAAGTCCCCAAATACTTTGTCTTGCAAAAGAGTTCAGACCCTTGCACAGTTTTCCCATTTTGTTGCTTTGAAGTGTGAAATCATGAAACTTTGAATTTGCAATTAATACTTGTTATATACACTACCTACTCCACACATATAAAGCAAGTACATCATTAATGTTAAAGAAAACTAGAGAAGTCATGATTGCTTAAGTGTTTAAATTAATTTAGGTGCACACAGTTACCCTTTGCCTTGTTCAAGTAGCCCCTGTCTGTGTGCAATAATATTGGTTTACATAATTCCAGACTAAATACTGTACTGTAAACACCGCTGTAAGATCCCTCAGTTAGTTAGTGGATCTCAAGCAAACATTCAATCATGAAGATCAAGGATCTTTCAAAACAATTCGGGATAAAGCTCTAAAAAAGCAAAAATCAAGAGAAGGCTTTAAAAAAATCCAAATACTCTTGATATTTCATTGAGCATGGTTAAGTTCGGCACCCAGACACTGCCTTGATCAGACTGTCACTCCAAACTGAGCAGCTAGGCAAGGAGGAAACTGGTTAGCAATGCCAACATGAGACCAATATGGACTTTTAAAGAGTTATAGAGTTCAGAAGTTAAAATGAGAGAAATGTCAGAAATATATCATTCTCTCCACAAAGGGGGCTTGTATAGAAGTGAAAAAAAATCTAAAATCTTGCATAACCATGTGACAAAAGGTTTCGTGGTCAGACAAGACAAAATGTGCACTTTCTGGTCTAAATGAAAAACATTAAATCTAACAGAATCCCAACACAGTGTCTAACTCGGTCAAAACTTTCCCTACTGTCAAGCATGGCTGTGGTGGCATTATATTTAAGTTCTGCTTCTTATCAGCTAGGACTGAGAAGCCAAGATTGATGGCAACATAGATGGAGAAAATACTGGCAAATCATAGAGGAAAATGGGCAAAACTACACCAAACTGATGTGTAAAGTTGATAAAGACTTACCCAAAAAAACTTTGGCTGTAATTGCTTCTAAATATTGAGTTTATAGGCCTCAGTATTATGCAATAATATATTTATTGTTTTTCTCTTTAGATTTTGCTAATATTTAAAGTAACTTATCTTGCACATAGATGTTTGCAGTTTGAGCATTCTCTAACCACTGCTTCAAGCCACTATCCCATAAGCACAAAGTATATTTCAACTGTTAAATCAACGTATTTTCTCAAACCTTACGTCAATGAGTTTGATGAAGATATTTACATTTGAATATATGAAAATTATAAGAATACATTATCTATTATTGTTACATTATCTGTAAAAAAACTGTTATAGCAGTGCTGAATTGAGTGTCCACAATCTGGCCTTTCATCCCTGTAGTATACGTAGTCTTATGCACAGCACCCCTTAGACTAGTCTACATAAGCAATAACAAAACACTGAAACAGCAGTCTCAGACTTAGTTTCTGGAGGGCCTAGTTTTATCTGGGTTTTCCACCAGAGCTTTCAGTTACAAAGTTGGTCTAATTATGTAATTAACTGCATAATTATACTAGGCTCTGTGGTATAATGAACTGTAAAAGAAAAATCGTATATATGTCTAAGAAAATAATTAGATTTAATTGACTACTCAGTTTGGTCTCAGATCCCTGTACTGAAAGAAACTGGTAAACAACAGAGATAGGTCACAATCATTATCTTGTAAAGAGAAACAGGTTAATAGTATTTAAATGAAGAAAATGGTCAATAATGACCATCTTCCCCCTGTCTTCTTCCTTAGTGGTACTAGAATCTATGTTAAAGCTGCAAGAACAAAAAAATGACATCAGCCAGCACAAAATATGTAACCAACAAATACTACAGTTTCATGTGAAGAATCCTCATTTTTACTGAACTTGCAAACTGTATGATTAACATTCTAAGTAGATAAGGGACTGTGTCATTAATATAGGCCATAATTGAAGGAGACAGCCTTCTACATTGTGTCGAACCATCCAGTGACTCATATGATCTGATTCTCATTTAACCTTACTTTAAATTACTGTCTCTAATTGGAGCCATTTTTACTGCAGTAATGAAACAGATATGCATGTGGCTGTGGTGAGTAATGTTTTCAAAATTAGATTGCAAGGGAAATGCTCAGAGAGCTTCCAATGATTGAAGACTGTCATGCATTTCAAACAGTCAATGAAATAGCTATCGAATGACACAGCAACCAAACAATACAAAGCAAGAATAGTTACAATAAGAGTTATAATAGGGTGAAAGAACTATTAAGGAACAGGGTTTGATAGTAATGTAAAAGCCAACAGCTCTATTTCTGCCCACATTTTATACCATAATCAAATCACGGAGTGGCCTTCCAATTTGTAAATGGACAAAGGCAAAATGTGCACTTTGATTAATGTTATAAATCCCACAGGTGTAATTGATGAAACACTTTATTTTCTGAAGATCCAACCGAAATGTTTTTTTTTAATTTAATTTTAAGCTATAAACCATTATCATCACTCTTTGTGACTCTGAAAAAACATTTAGAGTATTAAAATAAATGTTAAAATATTTATATTTTTGTTTTGAGAGGCTAAATGATGAAGTAGCGCAAGACTAACAGTACATGCCTTCCAAGCAGAGTATACAAGTGTGATTTTTGAATAATAATAGTACAATAATAGAGAACAATGAAATTATCACCAAAACCAAGACCTGATCCCTTGCCAAAGAAACTACCACTGATACGTTTACCACTAATATCAAACTACAAAACAAACTTAAGCGTGTATGTTGATGCATGATTAACATTTTCTAGACAATGAAAAAGAATGTAAGATATACAATTAATTAATTTAAATTAAGGAATGCCGTTGAAATTGCACAATGCACTAGTAAGACCTCATTTAAAATACTGTGATCAACTGTAATCACCAGTTTAGGTACATTTCTAGGCTCACAGGAATGTACTACACAGAAAGTCTAAAGGCCTGAAATGTACTTTATAGCTGAGACTTGATAGCAGTTAAATAACTGAAATATTTAAATTAAGCAAAAATAAAACAAGCTGTAATAGCTTACACCTCAATACAATCAATAATTGACCACAGATGGAATATATATGTGTTGTATGTAACTCCAGCTTTTGCTGTTGATTTTACTGTCCCATTAGTGGTCTTTTCTAACACCCTATTCCTCTGTTTCTCTAAACATACCTTTAGAAACAAAACAGATTGGCAAACCAGAAATATAATATATATAAGTTCTTGGGGAAAAATCTTTTTATTGGCGTGTGTGTGGCTTCAATAGGCATTGAGCACAATGAAGAGAAGCCAACCCGTATTATATGTGTATTCTTATCAGGTTATCATATTCATATAAATCCATAATTACCATTCACAGTGTCCGTGATTTCTATCACAGTAGACACTTACTGCACTAAATCCTCAAGTGCATGTATTGTACAGAGTAGGATGTTGCTATGGTTACCTATCAAGTTTCATGGTGAAAAAGGGAGGTTGAGCATAACGCATTCTATGATTTTTATTGATTACAATATCATTACAAAATTAAACAAGGTGCTGTCATTTTTATATATTTGAGCACACAAAAACAGCAGTATCTAAAGATTTTAAAGTCAAAACAGCAATTGTCTTAAATATATTAGTTGAGCCATTTGCAATACATCGAGAGCAAGAAACAATAATTTTAATAAAGAGGGAAGACACGAAGAACATAAAAAAATCAAGTGATAGTAAATAGTCAGTAATGAACACTAATTCAACAGGCAAAGCAATAAAATGTGTAAAGTGAGTAGCAGGCATTAAATAGAATGTTTTAAGTCTTTAATGTTATTAACAGATCATTTGCTTGATATAAATGATTCACTATAGATATGAAGGCTTTCAGAAGACAAGGACATAGAACTCTAACACAACATGCAGTATCTGTAAAGGCAGTATTGCTTCTTAATTCCATGCATATCGCAGTGACCACAGAGCTTCATCAGCAACCCTTACCTGACATTTGAATCATTGAAACTGGCACTCTCCTTGAGACTCTGCAAAGGTATACGATTTCCCATCTTACAGCTCTTACTTCTTTGGGCATTTTTCTTCCTTTGTTTCACTGTGTGCTGCGTGGTAGATACCGAATGGACTGGCTCATCTGTATAGAGGAGAGATGGCAATGTTATTAGAATTATTATAATGATAATGTAACAGAAACTTTTGCACAGATAGTTCTAATATTGTATTATGCAAGTTAATTTGTGTGTAAAAGGAAAGAGGCAGGTAATAAAAGTATTCTATTCATGTGTAGCTTATTAAATAATGATAAAAACACATTTATTTAGTTGTTTCCAGTTAATTTTTGTACTCTTTTTTGGTAACTTCTTAGCACTGCTAAGACATAACCTGGGATCATTATTTCAGTGTTCACTGAATGTCAAAACAGATCATTTCACAAAGATTTTTTATGCTATAAAAATATTGCCAATATACCTTTTAGATGTTCCCTTTCAAACATAAAAATTCACCCTTACAACATTCCCCTTATGAAGAAGAAGAAAATTCAGTTAATTGATTTTCACTCCTCAAAGGAACAAAAAATGTTTTATTTTTCTGGATGACAGGAAGTAAATGTCGAATTATGCAAAACTGATTCACTGAAATCTAAAAAAATGTCTTGATTCAAAGCTTTATTGTACTCAAGGTAACATCCACACAAATATACTCTGTTAAAAACGTAATAAAACTAAGAAATATCAATTACACTAACAAAAGTGTCATACTTTATATTTAATAACTCTATAAATGTGATGGTTCAACTGTTAAAAATATACCCCAAAATGATCTTTTTCTGGAAGCAATCATTAAGAGTTCATCATTTAAGATCTCTGTGAAATATTATGTGCTGACATGCTATAAGGGTAAAATATATTATTGTCAGCAAGTTCCATAGTGAAATTTTTAATTATTTCCTGCCACTGGGTGTTTAAATTTTTAAAATAATTTATCTTTTTCTAAAACTGTTGAAAGTTAGTAAAACTAATCTGTAAGTACACTTGGAAAGGAATCTACATAATAAGTCCAGATAAAGATGTGCTGAACTGAATAGTACTTTGATATCTCATGTATTACTGCCAGATAACTTGAGGTAATGAACAGAAAGTAAAACCGATGCACACACAAGTCGGCAAAATTAGAATGGAGAATGAGGCATTGCTTAGCAACTTTTATTTAATTTTCCACGTTTAAATAATACAAATGAATACATTTATTTCAATCACAAACTATTCCAAATAGTGAAAATATAATAAGTTACAGAGTAGGATTGAATGGGGATCAGCATCAGCATGCGAGCTGCAAGGGAACACGTAGGTAAACACGCCAGCCGCCATATCACCCTGCAGCTCACAACTGGCAACCCACTGAAGCTAAGCAGGTGTGAGCCTGGTCATTACCTGGATGGGAGACCTCCTGGGAAAAGTTAAGGTTGCTGCTGGAAGAGGTGTTAGTGGGGTGCTCAACCTGTGGGTCATGTGAGTCCTAATGCCCCAGTGTAGTGTACAGGTGCTGTCCTTCAGATGAAACGTAAAACTGAGGTCCTGACTCTCTGTGGTCATTAAAAATCACAGGGTGTTTCTCGAAAAGAGTACCCCGGCATCCTGGCCAAATTTCCCATTGGCCTTTATCAATCATGGCCTCCTAACAATCCCCCTCTATAAATTGGCTTCATTACTCTGCTCTCCTCCCTGTGTGGTGAGCGTTCTGGAGCACTATGGCTGCCGTCGCATCATCCAGTTGGATGCTGGAGTGGAGGGGCGCTTTACAGGTTTTTATTACCTGTAAAGTGCTTTGAGTGGACTGTCCAGAAAAGCGCTATTTAAGCAATTGTTATTATTAAATGTTAATTCCATGCTGAAAAGGAGAAAGAAGAAAAAGAAAAGTGTTCTGTCTGTGGAGCTCTGTTCAGAGAGGGAGCCAGAGAACACTGACAGAGTGTCTCTAGGAATGTCAGAGCACTGAGGACCAAAGACCTCTCTAAAGCCATTTTACTTATTTCAGCTATGATCACACAGACCTTTTTGTAGCGTATGTGTACTTTCACTGGGATTCCAGGACACTTATGCTAGAAAGACATCAGATCGTTAAACAAGAACTTCACCTTCCAGCTGCTGTCAATGATCAGTTAAATTCATTTGCAGATGTCAGCTTTTCACGCTTCCCTTGGAATTCATATACCAGATTTCCATTTTTATGGACACATTTTTCTGACCCCTTGCACCCATTCACACAAGCTGTTTCTTTTAACTTCCTTAATCTCTTTCTTTGATATTCCAGCTCCTTCTCTTTTTCTCAACATAAAGAATATGTAATAAAAGTATGCATCTGGATGGATTTTTTTGCCTGTTCTTCTGAGATATTTATAAAGATTTCAGGGAAAAATACCTGTGGTCAGTGACATATTGTATTCATATCCATCCTACCAGCCATTGTTTCTAACATAAGCAAAGTTACTAATGACAGGAGGCCATTTAGCCCAGCTAGCTTATTTTGTGGCTAGTAGCTAATGGCGCCAAGCATCTCATCCACCCTTTTGTTAAAAGAAACAAAGGTATCAGCATCGACAACATGGTTGTGTATTTTGTTCCGTATCCCTTAAACCTTTGTGTAAAAAAGTACCTCCTGTTGTCTGGTTTTAAATGCAGTTCCACATAGTTTTCAATTTTGTGTTTGTGTTTCACTGTTATTTCAGAAGACATCCGCTGGGATGGATCCTTTACTTGAATTACAGTAGGCCCATTTGAAATGCTATCTTGTCCAAGACTACAAAGATTCAGCTCAGAGTAGGATATTCCTTTTAGCCTGATAATATAGCTACTTGCTATTCTCTGAACTGATTCCAAACAAGTTTTGTTTTGTAAGCTTTATGTGACCATAGCTGGACACAATATTCAGAAAATACAGTATCTTACTAGTAAAATTCAAACTAACTTAACTATCCTTACATTCTGTCTGCCTTATGTATTGCTTCTCCACATTTTCTAGAAAATTAAAACAATGTGTCAACACCTAAGTCTTTATCAAAGGAGGCTTCCTCACCATTTTACATTAAAGCATTTACATTTACATTGCTCACAATCCTGTAGGCTTCTGCTTCCTAATTTGTCAGTCAACCAATTGTCTTCCTCTAATTGGTGACGTGACAAATGGCAGCAAGTCGTTCTCCACAGTCTTCTGGGGAATGTAGTTCAGACAAGAGTCGACTTATTTTCTGAACCTTCCATCCTTTCACAAACCTTAAAGTCAATTTGTTAAATACCAATGGACCCTGGAAATGTCTTTATCTTAAGTGCTCCTAGTACCTCAAACGCTTCTATCACTAACATGTTAATAGGATTTAATCTGAAACTTTTTGTTTCTCAGCCAGATACTGATTTATCCCTTGGTGTACAACTGAGTGAAATATTTTTTTAGTACATCAGTCATTTCTTTTTTATCTAGAACTTAATATTAAATTACTGCAGAGATAATTTATTTCATTTTTAATTATGTTTTCTTTAGTTATAATACTGATTTAAAAAAATATATTTAGTATCCATATATCTTTCTGTCTCTGCCTACTGTAGGTCCTACTGTTCTCTCTTTTTACTTGTGTTTCCAGTTTATTACAGTATATCCCTTTTCTTTAACTGGATCCTGTTCTTTTTTTATCATTTTATAAAGTGGTTTATTTCCCCTTTTGTTCCTCCTTATTGATCTGGACAAAGGTTTCTAGGCTTACTATTGAGATAAATCGTTTCTGTGCTTCAAGCAGAACAGCATTAAACTGTTGCCATCTGTTCTCTACTGATACTATCATACCTAATAATATTTCTCTTAAATTCTTTCCCATTCCTTCATATTCTGCTTTTCTGAAATTATAAGCCTTTATTTTGGACTGAAGTTGTACAAGTTCAAAATATGCTTCAAAGCATGCCATATTCTGATCACATAATTTAGTTCCCCAATGGTTCCCTTACCTCTATTTTCCTCACTCTATCTTGATTGTTTGTATAGACAAGATCAATACCGGCATTCCCTCTAGCAAGAACTCTGACAAACTGAGTAAGGATCAGTCATTATCCATGTTCAGCATTTCATTCTTTTCACATGATACATTTGTTGTTTTTTTCCCCAATTCCAATCCCAATCTGAGTAAAACTGAAATCATACATTACTTATGTTTCATATGTATACATGATTTTATCATAGAATGTGGAGTTATAATTAATATATGAATTTGGTATCTGAATCTAATACTCCTAACACTATGACTTTTGAATTGACTGTAGATTGTCAGACCCTAGTTCAATTGAGGGTAATTTCCTGTCTATGAATCCTCTTTCTCAGTATAGTCCTACACCCCACATCTTTCCTTTGTCTCTGGAGCAGTGTGCATTCACTAGTATTGTAGTCTTTATGACTGCTTTATGTGTCTCTGTGTTTCCTTGTTTCTTTCAAATGTAAGACTTTCAATGTATCTCACCACTCATTAGTATCCTCATTATTATTTTTTTTCTGCAGTTTATTAACACATTTATATTTTCAAACAGAGCAGAAAAGGTGACAATGCATCCCATTGTTTCAGAATATAAATTTAATTCCAGTCTTGTTTCACATTTGCATTTTTAATCCCTGCCCTCTACTAGCATAAAGGTCCAGAGGTTTCAGTAAATGTTTACTAAATGTCAAACTGTACCTTTAGCCTAAATGTAAAAATTAACAGCATCACAGTGCATTACATGTTCTGTTCCCTCTTAACTTTGAACTGACCCACAGGTAGTTAAAGCAGTATACACAGAATAGCTTTGCAAATGTCTTAAGAAACTGAGTCATGAGTGTGAAAACGTGTCCAGGGGACTACTGTGGAGAGATGCAGAGGCTATGGAGGTGGCAGGTGTGAAAGAGCTCTTTTCAATTAAAATTTCACTTTCCATTTTTTCACACAACTGTGTCAGTGCACATAATTACAACTCAGGTTGGTGCAGCAAAGCAATTTATTGAGGATCTGAGGGCAAAGCCATTAATGGCATTGAACATTAAAATTTCATAAAATTATACATCAAAAGTTTTATCAGAATTATAAACATGACAAATGGGCAGACAGCACAAAATCCATTC